TGCTGTCTGAGTTGGACAGTGTGGGTCTCTGCTGTCTGAGTTGGATAGTGTGAGTCTCTGCTTTCTGAGCTGGACAGTGTGAATTTCTGCTGTCTGAGTTGGACAGTGTGAGTCTCTGTTGTCTGAGTTGTAGTGGTTGTCAGTTTCCTTTTTTGTACTAATACTACGTGCAATTAGAAGGATAATTCCATCTGTTAATCTAAATGAGATTAATTTATGACATCTTTTACACATTGTTGATCAAGTTTCTAAAACAGATGAAATCCAGATGTCAGCTTTTAAAGAAATTCATAGATTAACTTAATAACAAAGAAACAAAATCTTGATACATAGCTGCCTCTTTAAGCCAGTTATAGGCGGTTTCTGTTTGTCTAACTGCAGGCCAAAAATCAGCGCCAAAAAAAGGCGCCTCTTTTATTATTAGCGGAGACATGCTGCAGAGAAGCGAGGTATGACACTGTCAGGGACACCTTTGTGCACTGCCGTCTGGTTTAGCTCTGGTCTGATCTCTCCGGGTTTTTGACAGTATATTTTAACAGCAACCTTTTCTGCCAAGTACTCCCACACAGAACAGCGCACTTCTTCTGCGGTGCACAGGACTGTTGTTACTGTTTCCAGAGTGTAGTGCTTTTGTGTAATCTTAAAATGAAATTTTTGAAGTATTAAAATGCTTTTCTGGGCATGATTGGCAGCTTCTGTACCAGGCTGGGCAGCTGGTCCCCCAGCGCTGCCTGACTTTGCCAAAGTCACAGTGGCCTTGAAGTGTCAAACTGTGTGACCAGCCAAAGATCCGCAATCCACTGGAATCCACTGTAACTAAGTGTTCGCATCTACGAGCTGTAGAAGGTGCTTTTGTGAAACATGTTTCATGGAGCCTTTAGTGTTAAGTCTGATGTGCCATTTTAGGACTGTCTCTTAGTTTTTAGTCCAGGCCATCTTTGGAAAAGTTTTCTGTGACACCAAAGATGGGTGCAGATCTTCCTTGAGCCCATCTTGCTTTCTGCCCTTGTGGCATCAGCATATTGGCCGGTAGGAAGTGGGTCACAGGGTTCATGATGTCTCAGTGCACGCTGCATGCAGCAGTGCTGTGGGCATGTGATTCTGGGAGCTGCTGCTGTCCTGCACACCCTTGCAAAGCTCTCTAAGAATGTATCCTGAAATCTTCAGGGTAACAAGTCGTCTCACGCCTCCCACAGCCTCTGCTTCCAGACCTCCTAATTTTCAGGACTGGAATTCCCACAGGATGCAGTCCTTCCTGTTTCAGAGTTACGTAGACGAGAGTATGTTTGAAACTTAGAATATCAGATTCTTCTGAGTTAAAGAAAATGCATCTTCCTTAGCTTCTCACCTCCGCAAGCTGTCTAAAGCTTTGGAAACACGTCTTCAATTAAAAAGGAGAAGCCAGGCTTCCTGCAGCTGCTAGGATGTCCATGGCTTAGTGGGCTGGTATTGCTGTGCCTTATGATTTCTATTCAGTCTTTACAGCAGTTGATTAGCAATGGACACCGATGCCCGAGGCTAACAGTTGTGCAACTTCAATCTGCTGGCATGCAGACATTCAGCTTAGCTGTGCTTGTGTGCAGTCAGCTGAGCGGAAGGGAAGAGAGGGTGTGTAGCAACAGTTCCTGTGTGGAAACTGAAGAGAGCAAACGGGGGTCTGTGGAGAGGAGAGGTGTCTGAGGCCTCACAGCCAGCTGCAGTGTCGTTGACTAGTCCCTTCACAGCAGATGTGGAGGACTTCAGGGGGAAACATCTCCTCTGTCTGTCTCATCTCATCTATGAACTGGCTTCATCAGTCTGTTCTCCTCCTCACTGAGAGCCGGTGTGTGGTGAGCGTTCTGGCGCACTATGGCTGCCGTCGCATCATCCAGGTGAGGCTGCTCATTGGTGGAGGTGGAGGGGATCCCCATTACCTGTAAAGCACTTTGAGTGGAGTGTCCAGAAAAGTGCTATATAAGTGTAAGCAATTATTTTTTTAATTCTGTCAAGCATCTCAAACTTGAGGGAACAGAACGACCAGACTTACCTCTTGTTTTGTTTCATCTTGAAGTATTACAGTTCAGGTTCAGTTTCGTGCTTGTTAGTGGTAAGAAAATACAGATTTTAAATGCAATTACAGTAATTTCAAAGAGCCGTCTGTGTGTACATATTTCAGTGGGCTGTCTGGATTGAAAATCATGGGCAGCTCACCCTGGGAGATGTGTCCACACTTTGATCAGTGCCAAATTAAAATGGACTGGACCTCAGCTCTGCTTTCGTGTACTTGTACTTGTCTGGGCTTCGAACCGCTGAGCATCGCCTGCCTTAAGTCTGAGGGGCTGCTGAGCCCAAAAGGCCCAGGGATTTCTGTAATACAAAGCGGGAAATCAGAAGTTTAATTTCTGAATACTTAGGAGTTAGAAGACCTGAGGTGCATGAGAGGCAGACGGTTACCATTGCCTGTCGTTCACACTGTGGCCTTCAATCCTCTGTTCAGTTCTGACAGGACATGACCACTGTGAAAACTGTCCACTTCTCTGATTAACTTGCAGCTTAAGTAGTGGGATAGTCTGGCTTAAAAAAAAACGGATTGATTGTTCCAGCACAGCTTCTGGAGCATCGATTTGAAACCTGATGTTGTTGCGTTGGAAAAGTGCTGATGGCTTCCCAGCGGTAGTTTTTCGGTTTCCTGCGTTTTGGTTCGCGTGGCAGACTAAATGCCACCGTGCGGAAGAGCTCGGTGAAGACATGTAAGTCAGGAGCGCTTCCTGGTACTCTTGAGAGGTCAGGCGGTGGAAGGACAGCGACGGGTTTTTGTGTCTCTATGTCTCCTCCAATTGTAGGAAAAACTTCAGAAAACAAAACTTTTTTGCTCATTTATGTTCCCCCAATACTGTATCAGTCACCCCGTTTCCCAGGGCACCTCTCTGCTCCACAGCCCCACATGAGCAATAACTCCACGGCCGGCCTGGGCTCCACACACCTCGACTGCCCCTCAACGCTGCCTTTCCACTGTAATTCTGTATTAAAGTGGATGTCAATTTGTTAATAAATCCTTAGCTGCTGTAATTATTTATTGACTGGTGATAATGTATTTATTAGTTCTGTAAGTTAATAAAGCGCCAGCTGTTTCACACTGCGAGCTTGTGTTTGATTCCAGTCTGGTCTCCTTGCTCCGCTTCTGTCTCCTTCTGTGTTGAGAAAGCGCGCGGAGTGATGGTCCGGTCTCGGCGGGAAGCAGATTGTCTCATTTCAAAGTGGGATTGCACGTGAAAGCACCAGTTTCCACATCTTCTCACTCGCACCAAGGGTGTCAAATTCTGTTGCCACCTTCGGGCCTTCACAAGACGTTTCTGTTTGCACTGTTCTCATATTTTAAATGCTTGAATGTTCATTTGACCTCCTCACTGCTAACCCTGAGCTCAGCTCTGGCTGTGTGTGCTGAAGAGCCTTGCTCAGTGCTAAACCCCAATGTTTTGATTTGTTAGTTGCATTGTGGTAAATTAGAGTGTCATTAAATGCTAACTAAAATTCTAACGTGGTGTCCAAAAATATAATGTAGACTGCTAGTTAATTAAAATGATAACATATCTTAGCATTTGGTTAACTGTGTTGTTCTGCGTTAAGTTGTCATGATCTGTGCACGTGCTCAGATTTGTACTCACTGGTTTCTGCTGGAAAGGACTACTCTCTCTCTGGAGGGCTTGGTCACTCTTGGCTTGAGCTCCAGCGAGCTGTGCTGTCTTCTCCAGCAGGAAGACAGCGATTCCTGCTCTGCAGAGTGAATTGGAAAGCTGGAGGAATCTGAGGAGATGAGAACTTCTCTCCCTCTTTTCTCCATCTGCATCTGCTGTCTTTATTGTTGTGAGGTCATTAAAGGACCTTCACCCATATAGGTATCAGCAGGTTTGATATTCAACAACTGATCGTATTTGTTACTGACTGAATAAACTGCTTTAGCTTTTGTGAGTAAAGCAGGGTGGCACTGGAACACAGGAAGGTCCAATCCCTGTTTGAACTTCAGCACGCAGGGAGGCGCCTTCCGTGATCTAGACGCAATTATTCTGAGAAAACCCTGCTGATAGAGAACTGTGTGTGAATCTAAAATGTAACAAAGACCTTTTCCACTCTGCGTTTTTTTCTTTGGTTAAAGTAGTGCTTGTTTCTCAAGAGATGCGTGTAAAACTGTGAATTCAGAATGAGACGAGGGACTGTTTTTCCCTGTGTGGCACATTCTCTACCTCCCGGCTGCAGTTGTTGTGTGCATTGTAAAGCTGCAGCTGCTGACTGAATGACCCTTGTACCCTGCTGTCTTATTTTTAATACAAGTGCTTGACTTTTTGACTAATGCTTTTGGGAACCTTCTGAGCATTATCACTCGGATATAACAACCCCTGCTTTTATTTTCGAAGCTAACTTTTCCTCTCTCTCTCTGTCCCTGTCTCTCTCTTCCTCCCTTGCTCTCCTCCTCCTCCTCTTTCTGCTGCAGAACCGCATGCACGAGTCACTCATGCTCTTCGATTCCATCTGTAACAACAAATTCTTCATTGACACTTCCATCATTCTCTTCCTCAACAAGAAAGACTTGTTTGCTGAGAAGATCAAGAAGTCACCCTTGACCATCTGCTTCCCAGAGTACACAGGTAAGACAGCCTGTCGCTGCCTGGGCTGGGAGGCATTTTCTGGGACTGGGAGCCTCCCCCTGATCCTCTTGGGGCTGGGCTAAAACCAACTGCCTGCCCAGTGAGGCACAGTTCAGCAGGTGAAATTCAAGGAAGCTCAGGAAAAAGGCATCTGAGGGCTAAAGGTTCAGTCTTCAAGCGCAGTGGGTCACCTGATGTTTCCTTACCTGCAGAAGACAGATGTGGGTCATCTGACGTTTCCTTTTCTATAGAAGACAGATCCTGCTGCTGTTGTGATTGGCAGACTGTCCCCAAGGAAGCAGCTGTGTGCTTTATTGTCCATTAAGCAGTTTTGATGCCAGACCAGCTGTGTTTTTTGTTCTTGAGGGGCCATGTGGTGATGTCACTCTCCAGCCACCCACAGGCCTGCGGTCTGCTGCAGGTGGATCTGTGCATCTGGGTCCTGCCCTGCCTGTCAGTGGGAACTCAGGGCCCTGACAACAATAGCACGCTGTGATTGGCTGGCTGAAGGGGTCAAGCTCTTGACGGCACGATTTGACAGGAGCCAGAAGCCCCATTAGCTTACATTGGCCTCATTGTCTCGCTGGACTTTCAAGAAGCTCCCTGGAGCTCGAGTGCTGAGCTGCATAAGTGCGGACAGTGACTTAAGAGGAACTGACTGTGAGCTTCAGAAAAGAATTTTAGTGTGAAAGTGCTCCCGTTTCCTGCCACCACCCAGAAACATGCAAGTTAGGTTTGGTTGGCTTTTGTAAAGCTTCCCTTTCCAGGGGGTTTTAAGTGGACTTCAGATGTTACTTGCACTGGGGGCCAAACATGTGCTGGCTATGGGACTGTATGCACCACACAAGCAGAGGAGACACCTGTTCTCCCTCATCTATGGGCGTTCTGGTATTCTGCTGTGCTTCTGCATGTTCAGATGAAAACCCTGCTGAAAAGGTAAATTGAAAATTCAAATGACTCAAGACTAGAGCAATTGTCCTCAGAGGTGTTCTTCTGAATCTTCAATTGTCTTTTGTTTCATTAAAATCTGTAGCTTGGCTTGGTGCTTGTGGCTGAGGATGGCTTTCAAAATGTTGTTTTCCAGGTTCTTTTCTTTCAGGCTCATTGGAGCAATCTAGCTGGCAAACTTCACTTTTTAACGCTGAAATGGTCCTGCATACACCAATATCATGGACACCTGGGGTGTATCCTATAGATTCTAATCTAGCCAGCTCAATCACTTCTGTGGAACTGTGTATCAGCAGTCCATGCCCGATTCTTCCAGGGAGCAGCAGTGCCACTGGGGCTGGTGACTGTCACGTTGAGGAATGAGGCTCGTCTCAGTGCTCAGGCGTTTGCAGACGTGGAGATCTACAAGTGTATGAGAGAGTCTGGAAGTTTTTTCTGGAAGTGGCTAAGTCGAAGGCTTTTTTGTCTGACTTTATTTCGGTGAAGTGTTTTGGCTTGCTTGTCGTGAGCGATTTCTGCTGCTGTCAGTCCAGAAAGTGTTTGTCCTGTGGAAGGTAGGCAGAAAACACCTGTCACAGACACCATGTGGGTGTCTGCACACTAGGAGTTTCACCTAGCTGGGCATTTTGTTGGATTTTATTTTCAAGTTAAAAATACTGAGCTGCATAGTTGTGGATGCAGGTGTGATGTGTGTTTAAGGGGTACCCTGTCAGTTGAAGAGGCCAGTGAGAAGTGTGGGGGGGTGTACCCCACATGGTTACCGGAGTTTGTGAGGTGCTATACTACAGGGCTAAAATTATATTCACAGGGTTCCTTCTCTCTCTGTCACCCTGTGCTCCCCCAGGCCCCAACACCTACGAAGACGCAGCTGCCTACATCCAGGCCCAGTTCGAGAGCAAGAACCGCTCGCCCAACAAGGAGATCTACTGCCACATGACCTGCGCCACGGACACCAACAACATCCAGGTGGTGTTTGATGCCGTCACCGACATCATCATCGCCAACAACCTCCGAGGCTGCGGACTGTACTGACACATCTGTATAGTAACTGGTTTGGTAATGATTATTACAAATGCAAGTTGATAAATAAAACGCATAACGTATATATATATAAAAACAAAAAAAGAACCTTTTTAGTTTGTCTCAAAGAGCTGCCAACAGAACAGATTTCTAATAGAAACCCAGCCCTACAGCTTGAGGACTAGAGAAAATGTACCCCTATCACTGTGTCTTCTTGTTTTAACAGAACAACCACCCTTTTTCTTACAAGAAACGTGTCCTTTCTTTAATTTCATATTTCTAAATGTATGGATGTTCAATTTATTTATATTTATTGTGAATTTCCAGCACAGGGCTAGTTTGAGGTTTTTTTTGCCTCAGAAATTAGGTCATCTCACTAATAATAACAACAACAACTATAATGATAATCATTAAAATATCTCTGGTGATTTTAGTCAGGGGACTGGGTTTTTCAGTGCTTAGTTCTGTTCAGCTTTTTGATCTTTTAGAGAAAAATAAAAGTGATTTTGAGGACACACAGGATTGCACCATATCAGCTCATTCTGTTTTCCACTCGAGGAACCTGACTTCTCCCCGTGATCCCCCTCTGAAACAGGGCTGGGCCTTTTCTAAACCCCTCACAATCTCATCAAGGGGGCGTGTCTTTTTCACAAGCCCTCATGAGCTCAGCAAGGGGGCATGTCTTCTTTTACAAGCCCCACTAGCTCAGCGAAGGGGGCGTGTCTTCTTTCACAAACCCCACTAGCTCAGCAAGGGGGCGTGTCTTCTTTCACAAGCCCCAAGAGCTCAGCAAGGGGGCGTGTCTTTCTTCACAAACCCCACTAGCTCTGCAAGGGGGTGTGTCTTTCCTCACAAGCCCCATGAGCTCAGCAAGGGGGCGTGTCTTTTTTCACAAACCCCATAAGCACAGCGAAGGGGGCGTGTCTTTCTTTACAAGCCCCATGAGTTCAGCAAGGGGGCGTGTCTTTCTTCGCAAGCCCCATGAGCTCAAGGGAGGGGTGTGTGTTGTTCTTCACTGTCCAACACTTCAAGAGGCATGTTTGCCAGTGAAATTTTGAGTGTCATATCAGTGCCAACCTTCTTTATGGCGGGCTTGAGATAGAAATAGAATACACTAGATTACTGTAACAAAAAGAACTATTAAATATCAGAGTAAGGAACTTCTACTTTTTTATTATTGTTAATTAATTTATTAATTTATTTATTTATCCTTGGGCCCCCACCTCCACTTCACCCCTCTGCTTATTACCCTCTGCCCTAAGGCACTTTTTTTAGTTCACTACAGGCTGGTTAATGGGACTTTCCTGTCACTGTTCCCCTACTGGTAGCATGACCTTTTGGCCTTTGTAAAAAAATAATAACAAGAAAAAAAATAAAAAAAAAAGAAATAAAAATAAAAAAAACAAAAAAACAAGAACAACATAAATGAAAACACAAACATCAGTGGGAAAAGTGACCACTAGTGCAGGTCCGCCCAGGCGATGTGATGGGATACAGTGTGGAGACGGTGGCTGTTGGGCAGTGTGTTTCTGTAGGACACTATAGAGCTGGTTCTAGCAGAGTCTTTACAAGTAGAAGCTAAAAATGATGATAATGACCATGATAATAATAATAAAGTCTATTTCTTGTGCTTTGTAGCTACAGAACATTTTTCCCCTTTTTTAAAAGTTTTGCAACGGTTCTAAGAGTCATTATACCGTTCTTATGTACCCATGTCAATGTCGCTGAACTGTCCCTCTTCCTTTGCCTGTTCTCCCTGCATCGCAGTGTCTTTACTAGCCTGGAGTATTTTTCAATCCATTTGGGAATACAGCTGCCTCTGCAGGCAGCGTGGCTGTACAGGATTATATGCGCTTTTCTCTTAGTTGAAATTGTAATCTAATCTGAACTGCCTTTCTTCACCTTCCAGGTCTGTATAAAAAAAGCACAGCTCTCACTGACCAGTAGATTTGGAAAGATGTTACCCCTTTTAGCCTTTTTGCTCTGAAAAAAAAAGAATACTGTGTATTATATATACCAGTTAGAATCTCTTTTCATTTTTCTTTTTTTCAGTGAATGCTGTTTCGTGCTGCTTTTTACTTCCTTTATAGTGAATGGTGTTTCTCTCATGTGGGATGTTTGTGCTGCAAACCAATCGAATGTAGTGTTTACATTAAAGCCACAGTTTTCATGACTAATTCTTTGTCAGTTCTACTTTGATTGCGAACTTTGACCCCTTCACAGAGTCACTCTTGTGTCAGACGCAATAATAATGATGATGATTACTGAGCTTACAATATTATTCACTGGAAGCAGAAAGAAGGAAGAATAGCACTAAAGAAAATGACTAAATGAGTGAAATGTAAAGAGGGACCGAATCTATTAGGAGTTAGACCTGGGGTGCCGGACTCAGTCCTAGCAGGCTCTCATTTCTTGCGATCCTTGTTCCACCTGAGCTCTCATTTGTTTTGTTGTTCAATCGATTTAATGAACTGCAGAACTCCTGTCATACTCCAAACTTTTAAAGAAGTGTTAAAAGCAGCTCTACTTAGAATAAAGTGGCTGTTTTGGGTAAGCAACTGTGAAGGACCTCAAGAACCGTCCTGCTTGTGTCAGACTGTGAAAACGAATGTGTTAGATGTTTAGCTGATGACTGACTCCCACTGGAACAAGAACCATGGGAGACACCGGGCCACGGGGAGGAGTGGCTGACTCCCCAGTCCCAGACATGGCCGATCTGTCGGAGGACGCCGTGAGGATGTTTGTCTACAGCCGCATGTTGGGCGCTGGCATTCAACTGTTGGGGGGTTTTAAGAAGGAGCCATGCTCTGCTGGGAGGGTAAACAGGATCTTCAGGACCACGTTCTTGCAGAGACTCATCTTTTGTCCTCATCATTGTTTCTTCATGCTTCAAGTTTCTGTATTGATGTTTGTAAAAGCTGATGGCAGCTTTTTAGAGTTTAAAACTGACCAAGTTAAACAGTCAAGGAATGATGCCTGTTGCAATGTTGCAATGAAGAACTAGAGTTGCCTCCTCTGTTTTAAAACACACAACAGATTAGCAAAGAGGTCATGATGTTTCTTGAGTCAAAAAAACTGTTCTCTAGTACAGGAACTATTCAGTCCTGGTCCTGGAGGACCACACACACCTGCTGGTTTTGAGTTTAATTACCTAATTGAAGCCTTAATTAAACTAATACGCTTAAGCTTGATTTAAATATTTACATGTTTTTTTTTCCCCTCAGAGGTTAGGATTTTATTTTAAATGCAATAGTCAAATGGGAACCTCCAACATATTTAAGACCTGTAAATATAGTCAAGAAGTTTAAATGAATCCTTTATTAACTCAATTACGAGTTCTTTTGTGTAACTCAGAGTTTGGGAGCAGCAACAGGTGTGTGTGTGGAAGCCCTGATCGGGAATTGTCACATGAGCTTGAGGGATGTGAGGGATAGCTATCCAGCTATGCTGTTGAAGCTCACAATCTTTAGTCATTGAGACACTAACATCTCCACTCACTAGTTGGCTCCTGTTTTCATAATAATGTAAGTCCAGTTCATCACATTACGGGTTTCTGGTACTTAATTAGGATTAGTTCTTGATCTTGAAAAAAATGATTTATGAAAACAGGCCACTCATCCCACAAGAGCTCACCATTTCCAGCTGAGAGATTCTTGATTTGTTCACAACACTAATCTTAGCTCAGAAAGAGACCAGCATCTCCACTGTTATTCTGTGTAAAAAATAGTTTCCAGTAAACACGTTCATACTGAATTTGAACAAGCTTCCAGCTCAATCCTAGCATTCCTTTTACTGAACCTATTCTGAACCGACATGGTCATGTTCTCTATGAAACTTCTATGAAAAAGTCAGATATCTGTTATCCTTGTTACCGCATCCATTGGTGTTGTCTCCCAATACACATGGTTTATGTTTATTGAACAAATGTGAACTTAGCATGTTTTAAGACACCTGAAACCTTCTTTTACAATTGGATTTTTCCTGAAGAATAAATTGGCTGTAAAAAAGATATATGTCTTCCTTCTTTTAATTCAGAAATCCCCAAATCCACTTCTACACAGCTCTTGACCAGCTGTTAATTGCTTGATTGGGCCAGTTTTACAGCTTCTCTCAGCTCCTCAGGTCCTGTCGATTTAAAGAGACTGAGAAAACTCACAGCATCATAGTCCTCCAGGACTGGAGCTGGGAATCCTCAATTGTCTTCATTTCAAGTATGTGTTTGAGGGGTACAGCCATGGCCCCGGAGAGCCCAAGTCCAGTTAATCTCATATTGTAGGTCACCAGTTTTTAAAGACTGGGAACACCAGTAAATAACCTTCTTAAATAAAAAGAGCTCTGGTCCTTGAGGGCTAAAAGAGTACTCAGATTGTGGTCTCAAATGATCTCTTCACTGCTTACTTTAACAAGTCACCAGCTGTGTCGATCACAGTGAAATTGTTCCAAGTCTTTGGAGATCTGTAGAACCTGCTGGACTAAGGCTCTCCGGTACCTAGGCAGGAGACCACATAGTGTAGCACCCCAGGAGCCGAAGACACACAACATCACCATGTTGGAAAGCTGGGCTGGTCCCGGCCAGTCACACTGGAGCAGGAGCAGGCGACACGGCCACCAGAATAGTGCCAAGGAGAGCCAGGAGGTAAGGAGACGAAAGCTAAAGTAAGAATCTTCTCTTCTCTCTCCATGCTGCCTCTGGAAAGCCTCACTTCAGGAAGGTGCTTTTTTGGTGCAATCATAAGAACTGGGGAAGTGTTTGTTTGGTTGTATGAAGCCAATGATCAGCGCTGTTGGGCAATCAAGAGCTCAGGCAGAATAAACTCTCAAGAAATTCCAGGAACGTGGATTGTTTTTTTGGGGGGCAGCTGCAACATTTCATTTTAAACAGAGTAACATCAAGTTTCATTTAGTAACTTTAATCTGCCAGAATTTGAAAAAAGTTTTGAAATGATGAGGATAAAAATAATAAGAATGGCCCCATGAGACAAGCAATTGAGACTAAAATAAACAATATCAGTACCCTGATGCAAAGGATTTAAACTGCAACTGCTCAGATGGTGTTATATCACAGAGTTATTTATGGAGGGTGGGTGCTTGCTGACTGTTGCTAGGAACCATTGAAAATGAAATTTATCTCAAAGTCACGTGGTTGTTCCATGAAGCACAACTGATAAATTAGAATGTGTACAGGAAAAACCCAGGAGCTTCTCATTTGAAGGCCATGAAAAATGGTATCCTTTACTGGATTAATCCAATGTTAAGAAAGTATTGTTCCTAAAGATTTAGGGTAAGGTTAGAGAGCATGCTTATTGTGTTAATAAAATGCACTTGGAATTATGGTGCATATTTGACACTGTATATGCAAAAGTTAACAAAACACTGTCTTTGCGCTGAGTCTGTTTTCAGAACATGGCTGGAAAAGAGCATGGAGACAAAGCAGTGAAAGTAAATGTCTGTTGTAAGGGAAGGTTGAAAGGCTCTGTAGTTCTCTGTTAATGTCCTCTGCATCAGCTGTCATCTTGAAGGTAGCGTCAGTTCTAGGTATGCTCCGGAGAAGCCCATTAAACCACAGGCTCCTTGTAATCTGTGGCCTCAATTCCCAAATGGTTTCCTAGAGTGGGTTTAACACAGCACTGCTGCTGTGACAGGTGCCGTCACTTTTGCACTGGACTGAATTGGAGCTCTGTAGCTCATGGTTGTGGCTTTCATCTGAACCCAATCAGATCTCTATCCGACACCGTCAGCTGATTTGCTGTGGGTCCAAACCATTAACAATGTGACACAGCTGCATGAAGGAACGCTACAGAAGAAGAGATTAAAAATCTAGCCCATTTTCTTTTACCACAAGGCCACTGACAAATCTGCTGTCATCAGTCAGGAATGGTGAAGTCAGAGAAATCAATTGTGTATCCTGTGCAGATTTTTTTTCTTTAAAAAAAGATCTAAGAACCTGCCTCCGTGGTTTAAAAATAGCCCATGTTATGCAGCATGACACCAGAGTGGCAGCGCTGAAGGCAATCAGGCCTGCTAAAGGATGAGCAGCTCTGCGGTTCAGCTGCAAGCACAGGTGAACTGCAACACACAAAAGGGCTATCTGCTGAGGAGAGCGACATACAGACACCAACACCTAAACTCTAGTTAGTCCCTTCCGTTAGCCTCACCACTTAATTACAAACAATGAGAGGAAGTGATGCAGGAGATTTCTAAGAAGAAGTGAAAGATGTCAATGTTGTGGTTATGTTTCTCATGTGCGTCTGTCTCGGATGCAGCTCCTCTGCCTCACCGATTCCAGGATTGTGGTTCTTAGGAGCACAGTGCCTTTTCCTACTCACAACTTCAGAGCTGCTTCTGTTTTAAAAACCATTCTTCTGTTCTGGCAACAAAAAATACATGAAGATCCTTTATTTTCCTTACAATTTTTAATTAAAAATCTCACCTTACATATTCTTCCAAAACAACTTCCAGATTCAAATATCTTTCATGCCCAAACCCAGGTTAAACTCCAACCTCAGAGAACAATTTGAGACCCACTAATTTTTACATGCAAGGATTCAGTTGCACTTTTGTAAATCACAGAGGTCAGAGACTGAAAGACGTACTGCAGTGTTTCAAATACACTGAGTCGTGTTCCAGTAACACAGCTGGGAGTCATGGCTCCAGAATGTCCCAACAGCTGGAGTTCTGCTCCTGAGGGGAAAATCCTCCTTCCAGTGCAGCGAAGAAGAGGAAATAAGAGAATGAACTTCCCAGTAGTTGTGGTTCAGGACAGCTGAAGCCTAAACCAGTTTTCATTTGATTTAGCACCAGTATCCTCTCTGGTCTCTTTTACAGCATAAATGACCCGAGGCACAATGGGAGTTCTCTTTAGCTTCATTTTTAGTTATTCACTTTACATCATTTTTTTGTTCCCCAAAAATCTTTACATAAAGGAGGTAATATTCCCTTTGGCTACAGCTGCAGCAACAGTTCCACAGCTGAACGCACATACTGGGTGTAAAAATTAACTTGGCACAATGTTATAACAGTAATGAACAATGACACTGAAAGGCTTTTTAAACTGGAATAACCGAGCAGAATTTCTTTTTTTATGCCTCCTTCATAATTCTGTGCCTTTCTCCCCTAAAGAAGGACGTCAGACTTTTTTCACATCTCGCCACGGCACCTTAATGGCCGGGACATTGTGCAAACTGGCCGCAAGTACACTGGGCATCTCTACCACCTACAAAAAATAAGAAAGGGTGAAAACGTCGCTGAGAGGCATGCGATATGCCAGATGGGTTTTGCTCTGGCACACAGTCGGCGGGCAGTTACTCCTGGGGCTGGACGTCCAGCAGGATTTCTGCAATGCCGATGAGCTTGTTCTCCTCCAGGGCTCTGATCAGGCGGCTCAGCTTGGCAGCCTTGCCCTCTGCCTGGATGAACTTGCTGAGCAGCTGGTACGCCTGCTCATACAGGCCGTCCCGCTCGTACTCGTAGGCCAGGTTGTCGATGGCCGAGCCCTTCAGCGCCTTGCAGCTTCTCTGCAGGGAGCGCCCCACTTTCTTCCAGTCCTTTCCGATGTGACTTGCAAAGCCCTGCTGGTCGGCCGTCGTCAGCTGCCTGTCACCTGCGAGGGAGGAGACGTCTCATGGTCACAGCCGCACCGAACCGGCCAGCTGCACGTCCACGTCGGGCCAGCGCCCGGCTCCAGCTGGCCATCTCCCACTTGTTTGCACGGATGAAAAACGACTTACAGGTTGGTAAAGAAAGACTAAAAAGATTTATTTGGCAATGTGCGCCAAGATGCTTGGTTTCTTTGCTAGGGGAATAAAGAGGTGTTATATGGGCAGAATTGCCAGAGGCAACAATAAATCCAAAGTACATTTTCCGGCGGCTGGAGAGCCATAGCTATTTTTTATTTGAATGCCTGGCAGTGCGTGATGGATCAGGTAATGTGCACCCACAGACTGTCCCTGGTGAGAGATGTATACTGGGCACAGACTTTCCAAGTTCTGATTATTCTCATTTTATTTGTCTGACTTCAGATTCATCGCTGCTGCTGTAGTGGCTCCAAACTAAGGAAGGGAATCGAGTTTAAGCAGCTGCACAAATAACTCAGTTAAAACCTCTTTCACTCATGCTTCTGCCTCGATCCTTGCAATGGTGTAAAATCTCAAGCGTGTGTGAGAATTAATGGCCGTGCACATTGAGCAGAGCGCTCCAGCACTTAAGTCGAATGGCTCCGAGCTACAAATGGCACATTCTTGTTTTAACTACGCCACCCAACCTGTGACACTGGACCATGGAGCTCAGCCCTTCTCCTCTTTACTGGCTGAGCCACTCCGGAGCCTCTCTCTCCCAACTGTGGGATTTGGGGAGCATGGTCTGGAGCCCCCTGGCTAGGAGAGTACCACACCCTGTGCTGTGACACCTCTACTGTCAGAGGGACACCATTCAGCAGGACAGCACTGGCCGGACTAACCAAGAAAAGAATTAGCGAAACTGAAAAACGAGGAGTCGACGGCCTTACCGAACATCCTGTTTTGGAAGAGGAAGGAGTTGCTGGGCAGCTGGGTGTCTCCCCCTACGGAGACCAGGGGCTGGGCGCTGGAGGGGGGCTCTCTGTCCCCGAGGACCAGGCTCTGCAGCTGCTGCTCCAGCTCGGACACCTCCTCATCCTGTAGCCGGTCCGGCTGCAATCAGAAGACAGGACAGGATTTTCAGTGCCAGGGGTTAGCGAGGAGCACAGCCAATGAGGCTCCCCCATTTCCCTCCTGAGAGCCTTCCTGGAGCCTCCGGGAGCCTGGAATTCCAGCCTCTCCCGGATCTGCCATCTGCTGCCATGGAAACGGGCTCAGAATCGCAGAGCAATGCAATGGACACTGTGAGGGTTTGAGAAAAAAAAAGAGCATAAAACTAAAATATCGCTGGAAGAAAGAAACAAGAACATCTAACTGTATGAACAAACAAAACACAAGGTAAAAAAGGTCATTTGTTGGGAGTGATCGCCCAGGACTCTAGCTGAAACAGAGGAACAATGTTCTAGTGTGTGTAACTTCAGATCTGCTTGGCATTTACGTTTATGTCCTTTACAAAGAAAAAGAGACTCGAAATGATGATGATGATGATTATTATAATTATTATTGCTTACACGTATATAGCGCTTTTCTGGACAATCCACTCAAAGCGCTTTACAGGTAATGGGGATCCTCTCCACCACCAATGTGCAGCCCCACCTGGATTAAGGACACCAAGTCCAGATGACACTGATCTACAGATACACTCAGGGCAGCTATAATGTGAAAAACGTTCAACAGTAAAGGGGAAATTAAGGGTAGGAACAGGTCAAACCTTATGATATTACCGTTTGTGCTGCTCCCTTCACATGGATTAGTATTATTGTGCTGCACATTAGGGAAAGGTTGAAACAGTACTTCTGCCCAGTGTTAAACAAACAATATAAAGCACAAAGCCGTTTCTCACCTGTGCCCTGTTAACATGATGGAGGCAAAGATCCACATCTGGAAGGCAGTTGTCCAGTGTCTCACTCCCAGCTTTGAGCTGGGTCTCGAAGGTGGGCTCCTTCAGGCCGGACAGTGTCCGGCTCAGGTGCTGGCCAAAGAACTGCTGCACCAGCCCGCTGGCGTAGCTCTGCAGGAACTTCCTGCACACCCCCTCATCCATGAACTTGATCTGGATGCCCAGGCTGGGCTGGGCATCGTGCAGCTTCAGAATCTCGTACCCCTCCAGGCCACCTGCCGCATCTGGAGGAGGGGGAGGTTATGAAAATATGTATATCATCACACAGAAACGTGCAGATAAAACAATAATAAACCAGATCAGCTCCAGAACCCTGCAGGAAGCCGGTGACTACAAGAGGAGCGTCCCTCCAGCCCCCACAGAGCCTGGGTCAAGGACGATGGGACAGGTGTGTGTGCATCAGGTGATCACGGGCAGAACCAGGGCCCACGGGCCTGCGAGAGGTCAACTGGCCAGCCCGCTCCCAAATACCTCACAGTAACCGGACCAGAACCCTACGTTTATACCATGCAGGCACTTCAATTCCTGTTCCCACCGGGATCTGAGAGCCAGAGGTTTTGAGTACAGGGGCCTACAGGCTGTAACAGGGAAGCTAACGGATTTCAACCACTGATAAGGGTCAGGGGTCACAGGAAGCCCCCGAACAAAACCATTAGATTGAGAAACTGGAAGAAACTGGCACGGCACTCAAAACAAAGTAAAACGTGGTTCAGTTTCACAGCCTGCAGTGGACACGCACACTGGAGACTGGGGTCTGGGGTCTGGTCACTGGGGTCCCCCTCACTTCTTCCTGCCTTTCTAGCATCCTGCAGCACTGCGCCTCACTGGACTGCCTTGTCCTGCCGCTCCTGGTGGAAATCGCCACCGCGCACGGTGCCCACGATTTAATTCAGGCCGGAGCAACAGTCAGCTCCCTACTTGCTTAACGGATTTCAGCACCGTTCAATTAAAGAAAGACTTCCCACTGCCCAGTCCTACGATTACTCAAATAAAATTCTTTTGGCAAGGGCTGACAAGGAGAAGGAAGACACTTGCAAGCCTTCCCCCATCGCCAGGCCGACACTCAAGAGGCGTCTCGCCGCCCACCTGACAGCGTCAGCTTCACGGCTTTGAACACCGCGAACCTCTTCTCTGGGTCCCTGAACAGCGCGGTGAGATCCTCCTCCCGAGAGCACGAGCACAGGAAGAGGAACAGGCTGCCCGACCACACGCCAGCGGCGCAGTCCGACATCACTTTCTGGAAATGACAACATACAGGAGATTAAAAGCTTGTGTGAAAAAAAAAGCAAAGGCCAGTGTGCTGCTTACACAGGTCAGAGCAAGGACTTAAAAACCCGCCACCTCCTCCTCCACCGCCCTGCGGCACAGTTACCTTTTCCTCCATCGTTTCCATTGGCCGGTCATCACTGTCCACTCTCTTCCGCCCGGACCGCGTCTCCTTAAAATGCCATGACTCCTGCAAAAGCCACCAGCAGGAGCGTCAGGCGGCGAGCGCAAGACTGGAGCGCGGCGCGAGCGGACGGCCTGCCTTCAGCCAGGACCGCCGCACTGGACACAACCCGGAACACGCCTGCCCCGGGCCTCACGGGCCGCAACCCGTCATGAAGCTCACAATCGGTACCACAACAGCGCCCTTCTGGCACTCTCCTGCGAGAGCGCGCCCTGTTTCCCATGAGCCTGTGCCAGCCTTCACGGAAGAACCAGGGTGCACGGGTCAGGCTAGCCAGCCCGGTCCCAGATACCTCACAGGAACCGGACCAGAACCCTACGTTTATACCATGCAGGCACTTCAATTCCTGTTCCCACCGGGATCTGAGAGCCAGAGGTTTTGAGTACAGGGGCCTACAGGCTGTAACAGAAAACTAACGGATTTCAACCACTGACAAGGGTCAGGGGTCACAGGAAGACCCCGAACAAAGTGAACGTTAAAAAACTGGCCGTGTAAACAAAAACAAAGTTGAAAGCCGTCTGTTCTGAAACTCTCCCCTTTACTGAGAGAACAGATGTGTCGCTCCAGGGCCGAGAGCTGGGGGCCTTCTTAGCCGTGGGTCCGTGGGTCTCGCATCACACTGGCCAGGTGTGTCGAGCTGACCGCAGGTCCGGAGACAGCTCGAGACTGACCTCAGGCCCCGCGCGCTCTCTGCTCTTCCTGATGACCAGAAAAAGAGAAGGACTCTGCGACTCTGCTGCCAAGAGGACAGCTGTACAGTCTGAACACCATCCGCCGGCTGTACACTTCAGGTTTCCTGTAAGAATGGCCGCTGCTTAAAACTCTGAAGAGTCTACTTGCTCTTGTCAGAAATCGCTTTTGCTCTACTGCCATGACCGCAAACTGGCTGAGTTCGCTTTCACAACAATTCTTCTTAAAAGCTTTCGAACTCCACAGTTTGAACTTAGCATCCATTTATCTGGGTTTGATTTCGAGAAACATGCGATCGGGAAACGTCTTCAAACCATACGCTTTTTACCCTCAGGACTAGGACAGAGGGAAAACCGAAAGTAAACTTTGAGAACTCCAAAGCATGTTTAAAGGTACCGTAAAAAGACTGATATATTTATCTGGGAAACTGGATATATTATAACCTGTGAAATCACAAATGAACATAATATACCCGTCAACTTACCGCTCTTTAACAACGCAAAGCGATTTCCTGTGTGGCGGCGCGTATCGCTGGGCACGAGTTGCTCATTAGAGAGGAGCTCCAGCGCTCCGGCAGGCGTGAGCTGCAGGTCGGGCTGAGCCCTGCAGATCCAGGAAGTGCCCGGAGCGCGGAAGAGCGAGCGAGCGAGCGAGCCCTCGCGGCCGGCCGGGCTGGCCCTGGCTCCACAGTCAGGTACGCGCGGCCGCCCCTGCACGGGGGCAGCTCGGGTCACATGACCGCTGGCCCCGAGCGCCGCATTCTAGACTTCAGGTCTGCTGTATGGAGACCATGCATTTTAGGTCATTAGCTCTTAGTTCTAACCTGCAGCTTGATTTACCTGTCTTTCTCAGGGGGGATTCTTGAATCGTAATGATTGTTCTTATATCTAAGAACATACATTCTTATATCTTCCTATATCTGGGTGGAGCAGTGGCTCTGTGGTTAAGGATCTGTGCCTGTGGCTGGAAAATTGCTGGTTCAAATCCCACAGCTGGCAGAGGAATCCTACTCTGTTGGGCCCCTGAGCAAGGCCCTTCACCCCAACTGCTCCAGGGGCGCTGTACAATGGCTGACCCTGCGCTCTGACCCCAAGCTTCTCTCCCTGTCTGTGTGTCTCATGGAGAGCAAGCTGGGGTATGCGAAAAGACAAACTCCTAATGCAAGAAATTGTAAAGGGTTGATAAAATGATGCTATTATCTAATGATAGGGTCCTGTGTAAAAGTAGGAATACAGAAAGTGAGCTTTGAAATTTGACATGTTAACTCAAGTTATAAAAAAATTAATTTGATATATTAAATTGGGCCAATAGAGTTTATAACACCCACTCACGACACTCTATTCCCGGCTGGGCTGCAGGGCTGACTGCGCCGCAGGACACTGGACAGCCCCGCAGAGGAACGGCTCTGTGCAGCGGTCAGCATGCAGGCGGTGCTGACAGATCGCAGGACATTCGCAGGCTGTTAAATCCCATGGTGTTTCACGAGCATGAAAATAGATGTAAAGAAATACAACGAATGCTGTGTTTGTCTTGTCATACATAACCAAGGGTGTGTTATAAAACAAGTGAGTGATATTCATTCATCTTCTGCTTACATTTCCAACACGAGATTGGAATGGAAACAATAAAGATCAGCTTGAATGTCACTGTTTCTCTTTACTTCACTTTGGTTTGAAAATGCAGAGTGCTGAGGCCCACTACAGGTACACAAGCTATGAAAAATAACAGAATTGTTCTCCAGAACAGTCTTGTTTTCTCATAGTAGTCTATGACAGTAACACATGCTTCAGCATATTATCACTGACCCTAGGATTGTTTTTGGACTAAGACATTATCGACATGGCCCAATTTTTTCCATAAAATACAGTGCCGATCTTTCTCCATTATTGTGCAATGATTTTGCCTGACCAGTCATGGTCTGCGAAGGTCCCACTGATCCATAATTTCCTAAAAAAGTGGAAATGTTTATTGGGAACAAGCTGTTCCCTGTAATTACTGTACAAGACAGGAAACATACTTTACCTTTCACCTTACTGTCCTGGTTTTATTTGATATTTTTTTCTCCACTCTATTAGGAATTTCTCTTTTGGTATATCTGAAAAACAGATACAAAATATTATTATCCAATATAGAACACTATATCCTCAAAAATGTATTAATTAATTACAGACTTCATAAAATAAAGAAGAGACTTGTTTGTACTGCTATATTAGCCTCCAGTGCTTCTGACAATAACCCAGCAGAGTCAGGATCTAATACTGAAAACTGAACCTGTCTCAGACACCACACGATAAGGGCCTGCAAGCATCTGGGACTTTCAGATGCTAGACTCCACTTGCTCAGAACTACACAATAGCCATCATGACTGACATACATCCCTTTGCAGAACGTGTAATGGAAATAGACTTGGGGTCAGAAATATACTAGCCTATACCGTTTTAATGTGTATGTTTGTTTTAAAACATTTCCAGCTATGCTTAAACAACTGTAAACCAAACATAACCAAAGAATTGCCATGCAGACTTAGAAATGTTGCAGTTTTCCAATATGTTTAGCATTCCATACCAGACTGAAGGCTCTCCTCTATTTCAGATGAGACTATGAATTCCTTCCTCATTGTGCCATTATGACACACAATCATTTTTGTCGAATGATTGGCGAATATCTCCAGTCTTGGATCTGGTAGGAGTGCACAGCACGATTGTCTGTATAGACCACTCGTTAAATTAAAGAAACCCACAACACCGTAATTGTTCTATGTCATTAGCAGTCGTTCTTATTTGCTCATAAACATGTTTATACTGCTTGTGTACCATAACCCTTAAGGTTTTAACTGTTAAGTCCGTAATTATGTTGCTATACGTACAATTCACGATTGTATTCCATGGAAAGAAATTTTCCATTACACGGAATTCCCGCAGAGTAACACACGGGTGTTTCACACCTCCTGCCTAGGTGGCGCTAGCGGGTGGAATGAGCATTATAGCAATTCACACACTCGTCTTTGTCCGCCTCCGCTCGTCGGTTGTTTTGAAGGCGAGGCTGCTCCAGCGCAGTAGAGTTTGAGAAACTGAACTGAAGTGTACCGCTTTCTTCTGGTGTCCGTGTCACCTGATGTATTTTTCCAGCTGACTTTACGGAGAATTTGAACTTTAAAAGATCTACTGCAGAATCAGTGCAGAACTCCTCCAATCGTCATCTCGCGAAGCAGCCACCAATTACGTAGTAGGAAGGGAGGACGCCAGCTGTGATTGGTTGAGGGAGACGCCTGGGTGCCCGCAGGGGGCGGTCCTTCCTTTGTGGCCTTGTTTTGTCGTGACGTCACGCCGGTAGCGAACACAGCAGCCTTGTTGATGAGCAGAGGGGAGCTATGCAGGACGGAGAGAAGAGTAGGGGTGGCCGGGCATACCGGTAAGATACTTTGCCAAATCACAACGGACAGTACAAACATGGAAGCAGAAGTGGGGGGTCCACAATCTTTTGGCGTTGGAAGCCTGTGATGAGTGAATTCTGAGTAAAATGTGTTCAGTCTGACCTCCAGCAATGAGACTCTGTTCGGGATAGTTATATCCTCTGTGTAAGATGTAAGCCTCCACAACTGTTAAAAATCCCTTGTCACGCCTTGATTGATCCATAATTGGACAGAAAAGAGAAAAATAAATGTTCCGTGGTACACTGTTCTCTAATGAGCAGCTCCGCGGGTTACCTGAAGTCCGCCATACTTGTTGGTACAATTCAGTGTTTCTAAATAGTTTTATTTCTACTGTAGCTTGTTGATCTCATCTAAGCAAAACATTGTCTCCCACCTCTTCCCCCCAAGACCTTTCACTCTTCACCTCATTCTCAAGTGGGCTGTCAAACAGGCCGGAGTTATCAAATTAATAATAAAACGGGGAGCTGTATATTATTTTGAAATCTTTCCTGTTTTCTAAGTATGGGAATGATCAGAGCCCCTCTGTGTGCCCAGGAGCCTGGTGGAGTTACCAGAGGAGATCCTGGCTCAGATCTTCTCCTTCCTGCCGATGTGCGACAGGTACAGTGTCTCCCAGGTGTGCAGGTCATGGTCCCAGACGATGGCCAGCCCCTCCGTCTGGACTTGCACTGAGGTCAGGTGGGTCATGTTGTCTGAATGGGTAAAACCCAAAGGTGAAAGGTGGTAGTGTACATATTCACTGTATAAAAATTCACTATTATGCTGAGTCCCCACATGCAAGCATCCTGGAATGGTTAATCACACAGTTTGGTTGGTGTGTTCGCCATAGTGTAGGTGCCACCCATCCTGTTCAGAAGTTAACTAGCTTTATTGGTTCAGTAGGTTCTGTTGCTACAAGCTGAGTTGCATGGGACAGTCTGAAGCTCCAGCTCTAACTGGGAGCTGCTCACTGCTGATGAGGCAAAAAATGTCAGGCAGGTCAGTTTTCAGCTCCTAGTCCACTTTGCTCAATATAAGAGGAAAAGTGTATAGTTTATCAAATATATACACACCAAAATAGTTACAGAGGCAACAGATGTGTTCGGCTTTTTTTGTTTGATCCAACTAATGAAATCTGCAATCTGCATCACTCTTGCAGCTGTGAGTCTGGAACAGAAGACCCTGGCTTCCAGCAGTTCTGCAAACTGCTCAGGAAGGTTCAGCGCCTGAAAATTGTGCTCAGTGACCTAAAGGAAATAAACAACCGGAACACAGCCATTAAAATTTTAAATTACGCCACAGATCGAGACAACAGACTCCGAACCCTGTGCGTCTCCTGCACCGGTGAATTCCCCCTGTTCTATTCTGGCGAGGACATTTTGAGAAGCATTGAGAGTGTCTGTCTGAACAAAGCCAGCGGCCTCTCGCTCAGGGAGGTGGACTTCAGGGACATGCCTTTTACACTCAAGGACTCCCTGATTAGGAACATTGCGAGAAGGAGCCCCGACCTGCAAAAGCTGTATATCAATAATCAGACTCTTGTGTGCAATGTGACCGCGGAGACAATTAAAGAGGTGCTGGCACTGTGTCCTAAGCTGCGTGTTCTTGGGGTCTTCTACGCCAGCTTGTCAGAGAAAGTGCTGAGTGCTCTCCTGGAGCCTCAACGACCTCCATTCTCCTTATTGGAGTTGTACTGCGAGCGCACAGACAAGTACATTCCTGCCATTTCCAAAGAGTTCTGGACTTCTCTGTGTGCCAGACACCCCTTGCTTTCCGTCAACACCATCTTAAATCATACTCTACCTGCCAAGAAGATTCTAAAGATTCTGCAACCTGGGGTTCCGATCAAAAACCTGGAGCTGATCACATACACCTATCTTGTGAGGGAGATCGGCTTTGTGGCGGAGAGCTACTGCAGCACTTTGGAGAAGCTGGTGCTCCAGACAACCTCCTCCGAAGAGTTGAACTCTGCCCTCATCAGCCTGGCCCTTTGCTGTGGTGGTCTCAGGGAGATCCATTGCTACTGCGTAGTGTCGCAGGACGTGGTCCAGGCCTTCCTCTCCAGCTGTCCCCACCTGTGGAGGTACACGCTGAAGACCGTGAAGGAGCCTCACCCCTGGAGGTGCACCGTGCTCAGGTGAAGAGGAAGAAGTTGTTGCACACCTGATCTGCTGGGTCCTCCCTTCTGTATGTGTGTTTTATGCCATTGTCTTTCAGTTGACTTGCACAGCACTATCTCTGTGTATGCTAGCCTCTAGCATAGGAGCCAGAGAGATTAGAGAAACCCACTGACCCCCACAGATTCAATAACCTAGCTCATGGTGATATGGTAGAGACAGTCCCTTAATAAAAATGGCTTTAAATTCAGATGTTTCCATTTTATTCATAGTCAACTACATGGTCTGGTGCATCATGGGGAATTAGAAAAAAAAGGTGGCTTATTTTATATACGTGGCTGGTATGGTCATCCGGTGGTGAGTGCTGCTGTCTTAATTCTCTTGGGTGCTGGCTAAGATTCGGAACAAGGGAACCTTCTGTGTGGGCATTGCATGTTCTCCCCAAGTCTGCCTAGATTTCTTGGGGTGCTCTGGTTTCCTGTTTCTCCCAACTCCTGAAGCCATGGTGGTTGAGGTAAACTGAGTGTCTAAGCGTAGTCCCAGCTTGTACCCTTTGTCATCTGGGTGAGGCTCTGTCTCATAGTGACAATCCTCAGGAGGAGGTGAGAGTGAATGGATTACAGAAATATAGATGTATGATGTAATGCTTTTTTATATTTTTATTCTCACGTGTGTGTAAAAGCCTGGTATTTAACACAATGTATACAGTATAGACAGTTGACAATGGTTTTAGAGGGTCAAAAGAAATGACACAAACACAAATGACAAGCATTAAGTATTTTCTAATCTATTTTTCTATTTTTCAATCAATAGATTACTTGGAGTTACTGCTAAATGTTAGTTTAGTTTTAACCTTCTTTCAGTGCCTTTTCCTAGATTTATCATGAAATGTAGCTCTTATATTTATGAAACAGATTTTTGTTTTATTAGCAATCCAGTATTTATTTTGAAGTGCAGTCGAACTGTTGCTTAAATTGTTATGGGAGAGTGTATTTATGAAGTCATTCTCTTAATTTAATTAAATTTCAACAAAACAGTGTCTGATGTCCTCTTTGATGGTGTGGAGTTACTTTTATCAAACACAGATTTACATGCTGATTTCTTGTGGTAATTATTAGAGTTTCCCAGTATTGGAATACTGCATCCACAGAGCTTTTGGTGTAATACATCTGGATTATTGGGGATCTCTCTGGACATTGATCATGCAAAACTACAAGCCCTGAGCCGTGGAAAATGAGACATTTTAGTGTATTCGTTCCTCTGGGGCTCAAGGATAAATCTTTGCTCTCACCTGTTTCACACTTCTCACTGGCTCTCTGCTTTGTCACTCCAGCCTTGCAGCTCTTTCCATGCTTGGCACGCTCCTCTCCATACCTCTTCACAGTGTCCTGCCTCTTGTCCTGCTTGTTCTCCTCCGCTGCACCTCTGTGGGTGAACCAGATGCTCAGAAACATCAGGTTGCGGGCTCTGTGCCCACCTCTTCATGTCCCCCCTGTGCGCGCCGTACTGTATGTGTGTTTTGTTGTTCTTTTTTATGCTATTGGACCATTTTCTGGAATGGTTTTAAATTTGTCAGCTTGGATAAAGGCGTTGGCTAAACGAATGATGATAGAAATGTAATGGGGCTGAATCTGTCAATTCTTGCTCTTGAAACAAGTTTTGTGGTTTTGGTTAAAGTTACGTGCTTTGAAATAAACATGCTACTAACACTTTTAAGGTGCTTAGTTAAATAACAGTTATAATAATAATAATAATAATAATAATAATAATATTGCTTACACTTATATAGCCCTTTTCTGGACACTCCACTCAAAGTGCTGTACAGGTAATGGGGATCCCCTCCACCACCACCAGTGTGCAGCCCCACCTGGATAATGCGACGGCTATCAGTGGGGAGGAGAACAGAGTGATGAAGCCAGTTCATTGATTATTAGGAGGCCATGATTGGTAAGGGCCAGAGGGAAATTTGGCCAGGATGCTGGGGTAACACCTTTACTCTTTTCAGAAAACACCCTGGGATTTGTAATGACCACAGAGAGTTAGGACCTCGGTTTTATGTCTCAGCCAAAGGACAGTGACAGTGCCTTTTTACGGTATTGTGTCTCCATCACTATACTGGGGCATTAGGAACCACATAGACCGCATGGTGAGCGCCCCCTACTGTATTTTTATTTAAAAAACAGTCCTTAAATAGTCTGGTCATTTTACAATTTTGTTTGGGGGGGACCACTATGGAAATGGGGTCTTGGGGTCTGCTTTGCAAGGATCCCTCTTTCCTCCGGTCAGCCCAGCCCTGGCAGTGGGCAGTCGCCGGGGGAGGAGGGCACGGCTGTGAGTCAGGCGGAAGGCAGCTGTGGGCTGTGTCAACCGGATTTGCAAGAGCCGCGTTCATTGAAAAACAAACCTTGGCACAAACTGCGGTAGCAGCACCGGACCACGCATTCTGTTGTGTGCTTTCAGCGGTTAGCACCGCTTCTCTGTGCTGTATTGTGCTAGGCATGACTGCGTGTGTTATTCAGTGCATTGTGATGCCCTATATTGTTCCATTATTCGGCCCATTGTTGGGAGGGTATGGTGATACGGGCGCTTTGTGCTGACTGAGGAGAGCGTGCTAGCTCTGCTGATATGGCTCAGGAGAAGGACAGTGTCAGTCACCACCAGGAAAGCTCCCAGGCACGGAGATGGAATAGGACACAGTCGGCCCTGTTTTGTTCACAGCTATGCAGGAGTCTTCCAGTTCCCTCAGCATGGATGGAGCGTATACCAGCAACGTTCCAGCATTTCTCACCAAGCTCTGGACACTGGTAGAGGATCCAGAAACCAACCATCTCATCTGCTGGAGTGCTGTGAGTACAGAACCTTCCTCAGCGGCTCTGCTGGTCCTGGAGCTTTTTACTGGTGTAAAAATGTCTCGGGGGGGGATATGGCAGTAGTTTTATATTTCTTGGCTTGGCTCAAGGAAGTCTACCCACGCGTCTCAAAGGAAGCTCAGTGTTTCTGAACAAAATTTCTATGCTAAAGACAGAGCAGTGTCCAGTGAGTGTGAAGAGGATAGACTGGCATCTTTTACAAAGTCATTTTTGCACACTGACCCAGCAGGAGTGAGTTGCAGGGTTTGCCCGCTGAATGTGTTCTTTGTGGTATTGTTAAATTATTTTTCTTCAGTAATGCTCGATCAGTTACTGAGTACCTTTTCAGTGCTGGCTGGCCTTCAGTTCTGTGTGGCAGATAACAGCATGGTGTTGTGTTCTTCTGTGTGGTTTCCGTTCTGCAGTAAAATGTTTTGTTGTCTTGCGTTCACTGGTTTCAGAGATAAGTGGTGAATGGATCTGATCTAGAGCTGTGCAGTAGGTCAATGTGTTTCGTCCTTTGCTGGTGGAAGCTGGGGCTTGTGTGAGAGCTGGATGGCAGAGTCTGTTGCAGATCAGCTGTACACCCCAGGCGCAGCAGCTGTGTCCTGTACAGCTGCATCTGTGGTCAGGGCTGCTGGTCCAGAGACTGGAGCTAACAGATCGCAGCAGGGAGCTGTGTGTGTCAGAATAAACATAATATAGAATATAGTGGGATCTGAGGATGCATCATGAAAATGATGAAACAGCTGTTAACTGTGGCCTTGCTCTCTCTTGCGCTTGGAAGCTACCATAGCCTGCAGTTCTTATAAGCATAGATGTCCTCAAGTGGAGCCCAGCTGTGGTCCTCGTGCAGACGTGTTCAGTTTGCTAGTTCAGTGTTCAACACTTATTTACTGAGATGGAGAAAGGTTGAGGCAGGATGAGGCAGTCCCTGGCTCAGAGTGTTGTGTCTTGTCTCTCTGTGACATTGCTCACATATGATGAGCTCAAGCCCAGCTGCTCTGACAAGGTACATGATTGTTCAACTTTGACTGCAGTGTTAGTCAGGAGGCTCTGAAACAGGTGCAGTGTGGAAATTAAGTTTTGCTGTAGGTGTAATACTTACCTCTTCAATAAGGAAAAGGTTATATGATTCTGCCATGTATATTTGTGGTGTTTTGTTCAAGAATGTATGCCTAAACAGCTTTTATTCTAGTTGTTTGTAAACAAAAATATTAATCATGCCAGGAAAAACTAACCAAATACACCGTGCTCTCTGGAGAGCTCTGGGGAGCTTTGCAGGGATTCAGACTGGCCAAAAAATAAATAAAAAAAAGTACAGGACTCCCTTTCCATAACTGTGCTTGGACAGACAGATAATAACATTGAAAACACTGACTACACAAACCTCATCCTTATTTGGTCCTGAACATTTAATCACATTGCAAAACATGTAAAATCTGTAATTATGCATATGGAGAATTTCAATGACCTTTAATGAAACATTTTAAAGCCTTTGTGCTGGGTGTGATACCGGGAGACTTTACCAGCATGTCTTCTGGCTAAATGATAACAACAGTCCAGTCAATTGAGCCGCAAGAGAAGGCGGAGGAGCCCTCATGCCAAGAGTAGTAATTGGCACATTTCCTTCTGTTCACTCCACAGACTGGCACCAGCTTCCATGTCTTTGACCAGGGCCGGTTTGCCAAGGAGGTGCTGCCGAAATATTTCAAGCACAACAACATGGCAAGCTTTGTGCGGCAGCTGAACATGTGTAAGTATTTGTGACAGGATTCCTGTTTCTCGGAGGAGGGCTTTCCCGACACCCAGAGGTGGTCCGAATACCAGTGCTTGTTTTCCAGTCCTGTGGGGGGAGGGGGGTTCCTGTGTGTTTGTGGTTGGGTTGAGCAGTCCTGAGGCAGCTGTAGCTGTATATAGACGTGAAGCCAGTAAGACTGCAGAGACCGGGGAGAGTGTGTGCTCTTGAGCTTGAAGAGCTGCACGCGCCCTGGGTGTCAAGGTCTTCTCCTCTGCAGATGGCTTCCGCAAGGTGGTGAACATTGAGCAGAGCGGCCTGGTGAAGCCGGAGCGGGACGACACCGAGTTCCAGCACCTCTACTTCCTGCAGGGACACGAGCACCTGCTGGAGCACATCAAGAGGAAGGTCAGCCTGGCCCACACGACCCTTGCACATTTAAAATCATGCACCTGGGCTATAACTTCTCTACATTCTCTTGGCCCTGCTGGACATCCTGCCTGCTAACTGTGCACTATTGTTTCACCATGGGCTCACATGTCATGTACTCTACTGCACACACTCCATCCTGGTTCCCTACAGTATGAATTGATGTGAGGTCTCCAACACAGAGAGAACAGTCAGCCCACCTGGATCCACTGTAATTGAGGATCGCATGCAGCTATTTCCTGAATGATCCCAAGATTTAAGCTTCTGCTACATGTCTGGCTCACTTCTAGCCCTTTGGTACAAGAGCAAATGCTTTACTGTGCTCTTGCTATGATTACACTCTTCCCAGAATCTTTCCCCTGCTGCTACAGTAGACATTTCTAAGGGTGATGTTAATTTGTTTGCCCAGCACTGTCGGTTCAGTTAGTTCCTGTTCAGGTAGTTCCTGTATTATCGGGCACACTTGATAATTGAAATTGCGCCCCAAGCTGTTTTTTGCTGTTTTAGGACAGTATATCTTTGTGCTGCTGTCTCAGGTGTCCGTGGTGAAGAGCGAGGAGACGAAGGTTCGGCAGGAGGACCTGAGCAAGCTGCTGTACGAGGTGCAGGTTCTGCGGAGCCAGCAGGAGAACATGGAGTGCCAGATACAGGACATGAAACAGTCAGTGGCCCCAGCCATTGCCTTCATTACCCTTATTCCCAGCACAACTTCTGTGGGAGCAGATGAACTAGAATCCACTGCTGCAATTACATATTTTCTGTTTATTCCCATGGAAAACCCAACCAAAAGAGTGCAGGAATCAGATAGGGAAGTGTTATCATTGAGAGCTGCATGTTTTGGACTTACTGTGATATACTGGGGTGATATTGCCTGCAGTTATTGGGGCTCTTCTGGGAGGTGGCATGTTGGTCATTGTCTTTGATGGCTCAGTAGAACAGTCAGGTGAGCGTCTGACCCTGTGACCTGCCGAAGCTGGAGGTCAGGGTGCTCCACCGGCTGAGGCAGGCGCCAGGGTCACACACCACTGCTGTTCTGGGATCCAAAGCCCAGAGTGTGGAGTGGCACCAGGTTGCACAAAGTGGCACAGAGTCTTGCTCGGTTTCACAGGGTCTCACAGGGTCAGGCCAGGTCGTGCAGATTCATGCAGAGATGCACAGTGGAGGGTCCTGGAGGCAGGAAAAGCTACACTGGTGGTGTTGTTACTCAGGGTGGTAGAAAAGAGCTGTGCACTGAGCCCATTGTATATCTGGAAGTGTGTGAAAGAGGGATGACCAGCCCTGGACCTGGAGAGCCACAATCCACCAGGTTTTGTGGGTCAATCATACACTTCTGAAGATTTGGAACATTTTTTTTTTGCCACGGAAGCAGATGATTTGTAAATTTAAGTATTTTATAGATGGAATAAAATTACCAGAGGAATAGAAATGCCATCACCCTGAAGCTTTCAGGAACCATGGATGACCATCACTTCATTAAGCCACTTAACCTACTAAATTGATGCAATCCAGTAGTGTTCTAGGTCTGTACAAGGTGATTATTTAAGGATGACCTACAAGACCTGCTGGATTCCAGGAAGAGGCTTGATTACTAAATTTTGTTAAAAAAAAAAGACATGATCAAATTTGGACTTTTATTCCCCAGATTTCTGTTTGTCCTGTTAGTGATTTTGCAATTCTGGGCATGTGATGTGTTCTAGACCGCTCAGAGAAGTGACAAAGACATCCTCTCAGAAGCCCACTCTGAGCCCACTTTCAGGCTTTCCCTGCTAGAATAGTTGAGATACAAAACTAAACATTGTATTCCCTAATTGATATAACCCTTAAAATGTTGCAAATAAGGGAATAGGATTAATTAAAAGAAAACAGCGACCACTGTCCTTGAATGTATGTTGTATTCTTATCACTTTATATTCAGACTGTAGAAAATGCCTGACAAGCGGAGACTCCTTATTCCATTGCAAAGGCAGCAGAGCTCTGAGGCTGTGCAGTGGAGCATTAAAGTGTGTTTCTGTCTTTCAGCCAGAACGAAGTTCTCTGGAGGGAGGTAGTCTCCTTAAGGCAGAACCACACGCAGCAGCAGAAGGTCATGAACAAGGTGAGAGGGGAACTCTGATGTGACAGTTTGAAGGGCTTGGCATGGCATGTACCCTGCGCAGCTTTAATAACACGGTGACACCCCCTTGCTTGTGATGCTGTTACAATGTCACATTCATGGCTGTTGTGATTTATAAATAATGATAGGTCTGCTTGGATTATCAGTTGGTTGACAGTAGCCCATCTGTATGTGTCATGAATCAGTGTTGTACTCGTTAGTTACAGGGTGGGCTGCCATCTTATCAACTGAGTGCTGGAATGTCCTATATATCTGTAGCACTCCTGTTGCTGGGCAAGAACATGCAGGGGATTGTGCAGATCCTGTCTGCCTACAGGTGTTGAATCACTGCCTTGTATGGTGACCTGCTGACCCTGTCAGTGCCTCATTTTTCTTCTGCAGTACACTCTTGTCACATGGGTATGGTCTTCTTCTGTGTCCTGGTGTCACATGGGCATGACCTTATTCTGTGTCCTGTTGTCACGTGGTCACATGGGCATGGTCTTCTTCTGTGCCCTGTTGTCACATGGGCATGGCCTTCTTTTGTGTCCTGTTGTCACATGGGCATGACCTTATTCTGTGTCCTGTTGTCACGTGGTCACATGGGCATGGTCTTCTTCTGTGCCCTGTTGTCACATGGGCATGGCCTTCTTTTGTGTCCTGTTGTCACATGGGCATGACCTTATTCTGTGTCCTGTTGTCACATGGTCACATGGGCATGGTCTTCTTCTGTGTTCTGGTGTCACATGGACATGGTCTTCTGCAGTGCACTCTTGACACATGGGCATGGTCTTCTGCAGTGCACTCTTGACACACGGGCATGGTCTTCTTCTTCTGCTGTGCCCTGTTGCCACACAGGGATGGGTACACTTCTGCTGGCGGGTGTGCAGAACTGGATAACATCTAAGAACTGGCTTCCCTATCCCAGTCTACACTGACAACATGTTAGTTAACATGGTCAAGACTGTAAAAGAGGTGCAAGAAGACAGGTTTTCTGTCTCTACCTGGATGGTCTCTTGGGTCAGTCCTATAGTCCTGGGACAGTCGTATTACCCTGCTGTTCCGCATGATCCCTTTTGTTTTCCCCCTGGGTCAATTTCACCATCACGCTCACCATCTTCAAAATCTAAATAACTTTCAAATCAAGTTTGCGACACTGGGAATGTGATTACCTATAATTAATCTCTACTGACACATGAAACATGCCTACTACAAAAATCTAATTGGTAGGACAGTGACTGAGAATGCTAGAAAAGTTTCCTTATGACAGTGGAAAAACTAAATGCCTGTAACTAAAATGTAATTTAAGTTGGTGTGAACAGCATGACAGGTTATTTTGTTGAATTTTAACAGACATGTATTTCTTTCATTACTCCTAAACTTGTCAAAATCAAAAATTCACTAGTGATGAAGAAATTCCTGATTGTGATTTGTACTGCCAAAATGTCATCATGCCATCATGTCCATTTTAATACACTTCTGCCTCTTTCTTGCTGAATCACAGCGTTTATTAACTCCTGATTCTCCTGTCTGTTTACAGCTGATTCAGTTCCTGTTCAGCCAGATTCAGTCCAATGCACACAGCAGTGGTGGGATGAAGAGGAAGCTGTGAGTATGAAATCAGTGTGAATGTGTCACCTGACCACCTGCACAGCACTGCAGCTCTGCTGAAAGGATCGAAGCGCTGAGTCAGATCTGCTGACTCGCTCCCTTCACAACCCCCTGTTGAACTGCACACATGGCTCTATAGAAAGTGCCCTGTCAGCTTGATGTATTTTAGCAACTTAATGGACACAAAGCTAAAACTAGTGTGCCAATATGAAAACATTAACTGTTTTAGGAGATGTGTTCATCATCCAAGTATCTTAAACTAAAAAAAGTTTTCTTTTTAGAAACTAGAAATTGCCAAGAATATCCACTTGTGGGTGCTAAATTTACTACTGTGGTCTAATGTACAGATTTGGCAACCGGTATCAGTATTGAAAATTGAAAAATTTGGAAAAAGATAGCTTGAGTAAAAAAGTGTTGTCCAAGTACATAATTATAATTTCTGAAAATATTAATTTCCCCAATACCTATTGCATTACATTATCATTATCATTAGTATACCATTAGCATACCATTAACATTCGACCCACTTGTGCAGCATACTGTCAAAACATCTTTTTTTCACCTTAGAAATATCGCAAACTACGCCCTATGCTATCATTAACTGTGGCTGAAAAGCTGATCAACATATTTGTATTCTCCCACATTTACTGTAATGCTCTACTCGCTGGGGTATCTAAATCTACTTTGAACAAACTGCAGTATGTCCAAAATTCAGCAGCCAGAATCCTGACCAGGTCTAGTGCAAGTGTTCACATTACTCCTATCCTGGAGTCCTTGCACTGGCTTCCGGTCAAATTCTGTGTGGACTTTAAAATCCTCATGCTCACCTACAAGGCTCTGCATGGCTTGGCACCTCAGTACCTGTCTGAACTTTTATCGCCCTACTCCCCACCTCGCAACCTCCGCTCTTCAAATTCTGCCCCCTTACTGTCTCCCAAGCCCGTTACATTGTATGGGTGACAGAGCCTTCTCCTGTTATGCCCCCAAGCTCTGGAACTCTTTGCACAAGGATATCAGAGAGTAACCTTCTCTAAACTCCTTCAAATCCAGAAAAACCCTTTTTTCAGAAAAGCCTTTACTTAACTGGTTCCATTCTTCACCTCTCTGCTCTTCTTAGTACCACCATCCACGGTCTCCTTTATTGTTATTGTTGTATTGTTGTAATTGTATATTGTAATTGTGTCTTATCTTGTGTATTCTTCTTAATTATTGTTGTATTCTTCTTATTTATTGTTATTGTCATCCTGTAAAGCGCTTTGAGAAGCCACCTTTAAAGGCGCTATATAAAATAAAGTTTATTATTATTAGTAGTATAAGTATGATTGTGATATTCTAATAAAATATCAGAAGACATTTGTATGATGTGAATGGTGGTGTGTCTTATTAATCATGGCCACCTTAACTGTTGTTAATATTAGTTGTAGGCAGGTCCTTCGTTGCTGATGCACATTGTGTCGCTAATGGATTGTGTCCAAAGCTGCAAGAATTGTTGGCTGTGAAAAAATCACCTCAGACCCCACTCACCCAGCTCATAGTCTCTTTCAGCTTCTCCCTTCTGGAAAACTTTTCAAACCCCTCCTCTCAAGGACTGCCCGCTTCAACCTCAGCTCCTTTCCCACTGCCACATGAGCTCTGAATTCATGTTGAACTCTGAATTCCTCTGTATAATTATGCAGCTACAGGGAAAGTTGTTTACATATGTATGTGACGATGTTTGTTTTGTCTTCTGTGCTATTTAAATTTGTACTATCTATGTTGTATGTATGTCTCATTGTTGTGTGGCAATAAAGAATAATCTAATAATCTAACCTAACATCTCTCACACAGCCCTCTCATGCTGGATGATGGCTCCCCTGTTCCCCCGGCCTCCAAGTTCAGCCACAGTTTGCCCATGGAGCCCCTGCATGAGCCCTACTTCATTCAGTCGGTAAGGAGTTCCAGCAGCAGAGGGTGAGCCCCTGCGCTCTCAGCAGACAGACCCCCCGAACACTGAGACTCCAAGCGCTTGCCGGTGCATTGTGGTCACTGTGAGAGCTGAAAGGTTTTACAGGGTCAATGCCGGCAGATTAACTTTTTAAATCCTACATTTTTAACGCTTCACAGTGAAGCACTTTTCAGAAATAAATGGAAATCTGTCATCGGTTCAGTAAGTCATTTCAGGTTTTTGGGGCGACAGGCACCCTATGTACTCTTTTCCATTACCTTCAGCCTACTTTGTCACCAGGTCCCTTCAGGTGATGCTCTTGGGCCTTGTGCATAAATGACAGCAAGCCCTGGTCTTCCCCTGGCCATCAGGAGCAGCTCTATTACTGAACCAGATGGTCATCGCAACAATACCTTTTAAAAGGAGTCTTTGCAAAGCAAAACAATAAAGCCACCCCAGTATTAGCAGTAGCCTGTGTTCACAGGAAAGGTACAGCATGGAAGGACCAGACAATCTGCTTCCTCAGAGCTCTGCAAGAGAGCTCTTGAAAGAAAGCCTGGAGTTTCATTTCAGGAACTTTTTCCACCCACTTAAAGACATGCAGCTCCTTGTCATACCTAGCAGTAAAATATCAGTATTCAAAGAACAGCCCTTATTCCTACACAAATGGCTGCAGACATATTTTATTATTTGTTTTCTTGAATAGATTCATGCAAATAATGTGCTTTATAGGTACATTGTTAGGCACTGGTGTATTTAAATGGATGGGGAGATCTGCTCTCCTCCAGACCACCAGAGGGCACTGTGGCTGCAGATAACTGGCTGCCTGCTTACTGCTATCTGGACTGTATTTTTACCTTGACACTGAGTATGGATTTGCCCTATCATGTAGGTGAGTGTAAGATTGCTGCAGCTTCAATATAGTAATAAAGCAAGCCATCTTATTTTGTTGTTTTGTCCATTTTGTTTTCTTTTTCTGGCCTGCCACTGTGATGGACCTTGATGGATCTTTTCCAACAGGTAAGTGCTCAGCTTTTCCTTACTCTAATAAGTCAACACCAAACACTGTGTGCAGGTCTCAAAATGATGCTCCATGACATACCAGTTTCTTTTGAAAAAGCAGCTGAAGAACTAGCACAGCTTATAGTGCAGTGACTTGTCTTATCTGAGAGAGCCTCCGGTAAAAGCAGTTTTGACCTATCTTAGCTCACAGTTATTCACGTTGTTATTCAGATAGCATGTACCATAAGGTGCCCAGTGGAGTGGTATAGCTGTGCCCCCCCGGACTGTGAGACTGGTGTAAGAGAAGCAGCTGACATGGCTTTCCCCTCTCTCCAGCCAGCTGCAGAGGCTGCCTCCTGCTCAAACAGCGCTGCCCTGGTGGGAGGACCAATCATTTCGGACGTCAGTGACATGTCTCAGCCAGGTGCCCTGGGCATGCCTGCGCAGACTGAGGAAAGCAGGTGAGAGGATGCTAAGGATTGTGAGGAAGATCCTGTTCAGGCTGAAGAAGACCCCCTCTGCTATGGCGGCTGGCTCTGGGCTCGGTGGCTGTGCTATTATCTGCCTGTGCAACACGTGGCATTACAGTTTCTCAGACCTGTCACAGAATGCTGGATCAGGCTGCTTTCGGTTTTTCTTCCCCGAGAATCAATTTTCTTATTTTTGAAATACTGATTTCATAAGGCCCAGGAGCTATACTAGGCTTGGCTATACTAGGCATTCGTCCTGTGTGCAGTCAGCTGTAGTGTTGTAACAGAGAGTGATGAACAGTGAGGCTTGAGATGCCTCCTGGCTATGGAGTCTTAGTTACACTCTCAGCACACACTGAGTGTTTATTTGGCTTGCGGGACGTTTTCACAGCAAGCCCAGGTCACCCCCAGCCGCAGCCTGTCTCTAACCCAGCCCGTGCTGTGTGAGTGCAGGGAGAAGTGTCTGCTGCTGATCAAGGAGGAGCCGGTGAGCCCGGGCCTGAGGCCCCGGCCGGAGGGCATGCCCCTGGGCTCCTGCGACGTGTGCGCCGAGCCGCCCGTTCTCCCTGTCGCCATGGTGCAGTCCGTCCTGGAGGGCCGAGGGTCCGGCACTGCGGAGAGGAAGGGAAAGAGGCCCCCCCTCAATAGGTGAGCGCTCCCAGGAGCCCCCTCTGCCACCACCTGCCAATCGACCCGTTCAGGGGCTCAGTCCTTTTACACTCGCCAACATACCGGCTCTTCGGGATTTTTCAGACCTGACAGCATTTTTTTTTAATTTCGACATAGCTAGTTACAATATATGTTTTATGACGACAAAAACAAATCAAAGATGCGAGACATTTCACTGCTACACTTTGGGAGCTAGTTACAGAGCTTTATCGTTTATATGGCCCGTAAACTGAAAACAAGTACGAAGGGGAAAGGAACAAGTATGAAGAGGAAGGCAAGTCAAGAAAAGTGCCTGATTTGGAGGTAAAATTGCGATTTTTAACAAGTTAAGGGGTTGGATGATGGTGACCAGTTTGGCTTTATGTACAGTATGGCAAGAATAAATCTTCAATTCATGCAGTTAGAGACTGAGAGAAGACTATTCGTGAGAGCTATGCACCTGCTGTGTTCCCTAATGGATCAAGTTATAAATGTGTTCCCTGCATTTGATCATTATTCAATTTTATTTGATCTATTTTGTGTACTGTATGGTACTGCATTTGCTGTATTACCATTTTTGTAATACTTTAAACAACATACATACACACTCTGATACACTTGTGATTGATTTGCCTTAAGGGAGGGGAATAGGAAGGCCTAAGGAGGGTGTTCTGATTATATGTGATTTTGGGTATACACACCATGTAACTTAACTACCAAGTGAAGCACGAGACTACTGTACTAACGTTCTGGAATGATAAAGACGTTATGAGAAGACAGATGCTAACTTGGTCACTAGTTTACTAAAAGCCTTTAGGATAGGTTTCTTGGGCTGTCAGGTGCCTTGTGTGAATGTCTGCTGCCATGGGGCTGAAAGGGTGTATGTACAGTATGGTCCAGTTTCAGAGTGTTGTGCTTCTGTAAGCCTGTCGGTGCAAGGGAGGTGTGAGCTTCTCGCCCTGCTGGGGGTGCTCTTACTGATGAGCACATACTGATGGGCCCTGTGCCTGCTGTGTGCTTGCTTCAGGCCAGAGGTGCTGGAGAGCGTGGAGCATGTGGACATGAGCCTGGAGGATCTACAGGTGCTCCTGCGAAGCCAGCAGCAGAACCCTGAGCCGTCTTCTGCCATTGACGTGAGTACAACTCTTACAGGATGTGATCCAGGTCCACCTGTATGTCAGACACTTTCTTCATTGACATTTAATTATTTAACTCCCCCACTGTAGCAAGTGAATTATATGGGTAGATGCTCTCAGTTTGCCCGTTGGAAGCATCCGACCCATATCTTCCTCATTCCATGTTTTGGATGAGATATTAATAGACATTAATGAGAATAATGGCCAGCGGCCATATGACCCTGCAACTAACAACTGGCAACCCACTGAAACTAAGCAGGTGTGAGCCTGGTCAGTACCTGGATGGGAGACCTCCTGGGAAAAACCAAGGTTGCTGCTAGAAGAGGTGTTAGTGGGGCCAGCAGGGGGCGCTCACCCTGCCATCCATGTGGGTCCTAATGCCCCAGTATAGTGACGGGGACACTATACTGTAAACAGGTGCAGTCCTTCGGATGAGGTGTAAAACCGAGGTCCTGACTCTCTGTGGTCATTAAAAAATCCCAGGGCGTTTCTCGAAAAGAGTAGGGGTGTAACCCCAGCGTCCTGGCCAAATTTCCCATTGGCCCTTATCAATCATGGCTTCCTAATAATTCCCATCTATGAACTGGCTTCATCACTCTGCTCTCCGGCCCACTGAGAGCTGGTGTGTGGGGAGCGTTCTGGCGCACTATGGCTGCCGTCGCATCATCCAGGTGGGGCTGATGGTGGTGGAGGGGATCCCCATTACCTGTAAAGCGCTTTGAGTGGAGTGTCCAGAAAAGCGCTATATAAGTGTAAGTTATTATTATTATTATTATTATTATTATTATTATTATTATTATTAAACCAAGCTCCCGACTAACTGGTCATTGAGGATCCAGTGGCCCTGTTTGTAAGAGTAGGGGTGTTAATCCTGGTGTCCTCGCTAACCTCCACTCTATGCAATTTGGCTTCCCTGAAGTTCATCCTGAGTCCCATTGGTGCAGCAATCTCTCTCTCCTCCCCCTGACCTGTGTGCTTGGAGGCTGCATGTCAGAGGGGGATAAAGTGGGTCCCTCCTGTATGTAAAGGGATTTGTGAATTCAAGAATCCTTATGCTAATTATTCTCCCCTTTCTCTGTAGAGTTGTTTAAAGTACCTATTTTTCCATGCCCTTATTTATTCTACATTTGTATACTGAAGCATCTGCAAATCATTCTCTTCACGAAACAGTAGATTAGTGACCCACAAGGTAACACATACAGCACACAGGCAATCTCTGTCAGTACACCACAGGAGTGCACATACTGCACAAAAGCCCCAGTCTCATTCCCTCCATTAGCTGATTCCGTTGAACTTTAAAGAATTAAACAGATTTAGAGGCTAAACTAACTAATCGTCTATTACACTTCTGCTTTACTGAGTATCAGAATGCGAACAGGGACTTGGCCTCCGTCGGATGGAAATTGTATTTGAAATGATGCTTTGATCCAGTTAGCCATAGATAGGCTTGTGTAGTTGGGCTTCTAGTTCTGTTTCTAGAACACTCTGAAGAAAAAACAATCTTCAAAAGTATGGAGCTCATTCATGGAAAAAGTGATTTAGACTTAGACTTAGATGCTCCTGCAGGATTAGTGCCTTGAGAGATCTGGATATCACGCACAATTAAGCAGATTAAGATAATTCCTAAAGTGAGTGTGATTGATATTGCGTTCATTACATGGGGAGTGAGTGGCACTGTGCACAGTAAGAGAAGAGAAGACTCTGCTCTTAGAAAGGTCTATCGGCTTCCGAGCTCTGCCTGACCACAGTGGTGGTCTCAGTGGTGGTCACAATGTTTCCCTCAAACATTCCCGTATGCCTGTCTAGAAAGGAGTGCGATTTAATCCTGCGGTTTTAAATCATGGACAGGAGGGGGTTGTAAAGGAGGATCCACAGTCCCTGTGTTCTGATTGTCCTGTAGATGAACTCCACTGTTCTAGAAAATAAAATTAAATCCTTTGAATCCTTTGAATAAGAAGCACTTATAAGCAGCCCTCTGAGCCAGTTTTCCCCATGTCTATCTGCTGTACTCTCAAATTGTCTTCATTCTTTTTTTTCAAACCTAATGAATTATTATGTTTTCCTGGGCAACACTGCAGACTTTTCTTACTGCAGCTGTGTGATCAATCTGTGAATTTTCCTACACAGCCTTTTACCCCCGGCCTGCCTCTGAGCGAGTGGAACTTCGCAGACGTGGACACCAACCTCAAGGCGGTCAGTAGTCCGATACTGGACATTCCCAGATAGTCCAAGCACAAGCCCAGGATACTTCCCTCACACCAGAAGCAGGCTGAGCAGCCAAATGTTGTTTCCTCTTTCTGATTTTCAGTGTGGAGTTCAGACTCTGTGTGGTCCTTTGCTTTGTGTGGTATTCTTCATATTAACAATACCAAGAAGCAGAGCTTGAGACAAAACTGTAAATTATTCACTGACATCCTGCAGGTCAGACATTCTTGCCCTCCCAGTCATTGTGTGTGCGATTCTGCAGTGCATCTGTAGTTGAAGACTCTTTATCCATCCCTCTAACATCACACACTTATTGTACTGATTTCACAGTACATGTTTCAGCCCCAGGACTCTGACACATTCACCATGGCTGGTTGCGAAGAGCAGTGAGCTCCCGAACTGAGTTCTGGAATCAACTGAGAGTGGAAAGAGTGAAGGTAACGGCTTCTTTCCTTTTAAACCACACAATACACAGTGATATCGCACATTTTGATATTACATCAAGGTCATGATATTTTTGGTTTTGTCTAAATGGCACTAACCTCTGTACAGTTAGCCCTCCACTATGACTGGCACTGTAATCCCTGCGCCTCCCAGTCCCTCCCTCCCCTGTGACTGGTCCTGTGTTAACCCTGCACCTCCCAGTCAGTCCTCCACTGTGACTGGTCCTATAAACCCTGCGCTTCCCAGTCAGTCCTCCACTGTGACTGGTCCTGTAAACCCTGCGCCTCCCAGTCAGTCCTCC